AAGCATGCTGAAAGTAGACTATAGACCAAACATGATTGCCACTCAATGCCTCTTTTGCAAACCACAACACCCAAAAGGAGAGAACAAAAAGTTTATATATCTTTTTGGTGACTAACTCAATAGGTACATCTTTTTCTTCCATAGCAATATAGACATTCTCAAACACAAACTGATTGAAATTCCCAAATCAGTGGGCTCACTTTGGTGGAAATAAGTCATGGGCAGTCCTGTCTAGGGCAATGGTGAGAGTTATTTAAAAATTATTTTTTAGTGAAGCAAGATAGTTTTTTCTTTTGTTGTTGTTGTTGATTATTTTGCCACATCCAGTGATGCTCAGGGTTTACCCCTGACTCTGCTCTCAGGAATCACCTGGCAGTGCTTGAGGGACGATATGGGATGCTGGGGATTGAACCTGGGTTGGCTATATGCAAGGCAAATGCCCTACTTGCTGTACTACTGCTCCAGCCCCTAGTGAATCAAGGTAGTTTTTTTTTAACATTCCAATATAATTACATGGATAAATATACATTACTCCTTGAAATTTTTTTCAGAGTCTTAATATTGGTGATTAAACAGCATAGTAGGCCAAAATATACCAGGAAAAATATATACATACATATATTCTGAATATTTAAAAATCTTTCTTTTATTATTTTTATTAGTGAGACACCATGAGGTACAGTTGTATACTTACAAATTTTTGTGCTTGGGTTTCAATTATACAATGATCAAATACCCATCCCTCCACCAGTGCCCATTTCCCATCACCACGGATCCCAGTATCCCTCCCACCCCCCATCCCCCCATCCCACCCTCCCTCTGTGGCAGGGCATTCCCTTTTATTCTCTCTCTCCTATTGGGTGTTGTGGTTTGCAAAAGAGGCATTGAGTGGCAATTATGTTTGGTCTATAGTCTACTTTCAGCATGCTTCTCCCATCCTGTAAGGTAGTTTTTAAAATTGAAACTTATTGAAAAAAATGTGAGAGAGAAAGAGGGGAAATGTGTTCAAGAAACAGAAACATAGAAACAGGTAAGCAGATATATGTTCAAGGGAGAGGATGCTCTTGAAGAGCAGGTGGTAAGCAGGTTTGTAACTTACCAAAATTTTATTCACTTAAATTATATTTATATACTTATATCATAGTTGTAGTACTATACTAAGCTATTAAAATATAAGTTTTCCCACCAACTTGAAATACTGGGGTGTATATTAGTATAAGTGATCATATTGATACCATATATTCTGATGATGCTCTATGGAAAAGTCACTGAGGTATCTCCTTGGAAAATTCACCCCTCATTTCTATTCTAACTTATTTAACTCCTTTTCCTTCTTTCCCTCCCTCCCTCCCTCCCTCCTTTCCTTCCTTCCTTCCTTCCTTCCTTCCTTCCTTCCTTCCTTCCTTCCTTCATTCCTTTTGTGGGGAGGGGCACACCTGGCTATACTCAGGGATTATTCCTGACTCTATGCTCAGGGATTACTCCTTGGTGTGGTTCCAAAGGACCATACATGGTGCCAGGGATCAAACCCAGATCAGCTTCATGCAAGTCATATGCTTTACCCATTGTACTTATGCTATCTCTCCGGCCCCTAGAAATACGTTTTAAAAGAAAGAGCTCAGCAGATAGAATGGAAAACGAGCTCCTCCCTCCGTTAGATACTAGTGACTAGATACTCCGTGAATCTAGAATAATCTCTTCATCTTTTCTACTGATAAACCATTCTCTCATCCCTGTCTGGAAAACCCAAATGCAGGAGGCATTTCCTGCCCCTCACCAGGGAGGTCTTGGCACCTCTGAACCAAGCCTGAGTCTATCCATGCTTGCAGTCCGGAGACTGTGATGGCATTTACACTGTCTCCTGCAGGGGGCGCCTTCTGCAGAGCTGGGGGATGCCTTCCCCTTCTCCATACCTGGTATATAAGAGGCCTTGGTGCTGCTCATATTTACAGCATAGAAAAAGAGGATTTATTAGTCCAACCCATTTTGTTTCAGATGGTCTAGAAAAGCCCGTCATTTTTGCCCTTGCTCTCAACTCTGTTATTTTCACGATGATTCCTACTCAGCTTCCTGATGGATGCTTTGTGTATGGTGGCTGGTCTACGTTTCTGCTGCCCTGTGGGATGTGAATGTGCCCTTACAGGCTCAGCACCCCCATACATGTGGGACAGTGGAAAGGGATAGGCTTTCCCTAGACCACCACCATGGTGTACTGCTAACCAAAACACAAGCCGGGAGGAGGGTTTAGGACACTGGTCAGGAGGAAGATCCTGAACCATGACTGGGAGTAGAATGAGGCTATGCTTTAGTAGGTACAGGAAAGATATCTTCCAGGTCAAAGTGTTTTTGTGTGCATGTACATGTGCGTGTGTGTGTGTGCGTGTGTGTGTGTGTGTGCGTGTGTGTGTGTATGTGTGTGTGTGTGTGTTTGGGGGAGGGGATTGTTCTGGAGACCAGCAAGCTCTAATCCTTTATGCTACTTTCTTAGCCCCCATGTCAGCAGCAAAGGTAATCTCTGCTCACAGCAGAGATTGACATTCAGACGCCCTCTAGGGGCTCGGGAGCTCGCCCAGTGCTTAAAGTGCCTGGCCTACAAGGAGTGAGGCTTTGAGCCCTATCCCCGGGCCTCCCAAATGTGCTGAACACAGTCTGGCAGCTCTGCTCTCTGGAAGCTCTAGTGCCTCCACGGGAGGTGTGATCCCGGGGTGCTACAGCAGGTGTGTGCAAGTCCTCAGCTAACAGTGTGTGGGAGGTCCCAGGTGAGCATCACAGCCAAAGCTCCTGGATGCCCCCCAAGACCAACAGTGTAACCACACAAAACTGAAGGATGTGCCCCCAGAAAACACAATCATGAAAATGTAAGCCCCGGAGAGCCCCACGCCTGTGAAGGGGAAGATGGTACCCAGGGTATGACCCTCAGGGAACACAGTCAAGGATGGGCAGAACTGCTGGTCATCACAAGCATGAAAAGAAACAAGAAGGGAAGAGAAGGAGAAAAACAAGACTAAGACCCTGTGGGAAAACACCAGAGCCTCTGGGAAATGGGGGGCAGGTTCATCCTATCTGGAGTTACCAAAGACCTAAGAAAGAGTTCTCAACTAGCTGTGGGAAGATTGTGCCATAAGTCTGTGATGGCCTTGGGACGTATGTCCCCAACTTTCAACATGAAGTATGGGAAATACAAATGGTCATCAATGTCACTGAGAAAGGGAAGGAAATAATGAGTGGGTGCTGTGGGGTTTGTGTGTGTGTGAGGGGGACAGATGGCTCCTCCCTGAGTACTTGTGGCTGCTTCAGCCCTTTGGTTGGCTGTGGGGCCTGATAGCAGGGCCTGGCTCCCCAGGAGCCCACCCAAAGCTGGGGTGGTGACTGAGAGTGGGGTGGGGAAGGAATGACACCAAGTTCTAGTGCCGTCCAGGAAATAAGCATTTCTCCTAATGGGAGAGGACCGACTTGCACCACGCCTGCTACCCCAACCCCCAACATGTGGGGCCTGTACCATTGGTGTCCCTAGAGGCCCAAAGGGGAGAATGCCAGGATCTTGACGAGCCAGCCACCATGCCTGCCCAGGGAACACTCTGGTGAACTGGTCTAGAGTGGGGTGAAACTGACAGAGTGGCAGAAGGCCTGTGCTCGTGGCCTTCAGGACATGGGGTGTGCCAGCAGGGTCAGCAGCTGACTTAGTACTAGGGATCCTCACCGGGTGCTGGCTTCCCAGCAGGCATCTGCCTCCTGAGCTCCAACTGCCCGTCCCTCTGCTCTCAGAGCTGACCGTTCATGAGAGCCAACACTCCAGTGCCGGTTGAATGAGGGTCTGCCCCCAAGAATCTGGGCTTCAGTACCATGAAAATGTCACGGGCCTCTGATCACAGGCTGGTCTTCACCCATGGGAGGCTTGGCTATCTTTAAGCATTCTGTTTTGGACTCAACGAAACTTTTAAATATAGTCTTTAAAAATCCAAAGACTCTGTTTCTGAGAACTCAGAAAACAGAATGGAGCCAGCTCACACCACTTGGGTTTTTGAGGGTTCATTCAGCCAGACTAACAACCGAGTAGTTCTCAAGTCTTCAGGAAAACCACTTGGAATGCCTTCCAGGCCTGCCAGCTATTTATAAATGATCTTTCAAGTCCTTTCCAGTGATTTTCCCTTGGTCTGTTGATTAATAAAGAGAAAAAGTGGTGTGGTTGGTTCTAAGGTACCTCCAGAATCTGAGGGCCTTAAATTTCCTGTTTGGGGTAATAAATAATTCTGTCTATGGGGGGGGGGGAATTCTTTCGACAACAGTACAGATATTTATGTGGATTACTCTTAGAGTGTGCCTAATGAACAGAACATTCCTAGACACTGGGGGAAAGGTAGAGTGGTCAGGTTGATTAATAATATTAAAGATGGTAGACAGGAGAGTGTGGGATTCAGTAACCTCAGACTTGGTTCCAACCGCGGGTACAGAACACTGGGGGCTTTTCTGCTGCTGTTTCGGCAGAAAACACAGACATGGGCACTTCATGGATTATAAATGAAACATCACGAGGGCTGGAATAACCAGGCAGGCGACTGAGGGTGTGTGTGTTGGGGAGGAGGGGTGGAGGTGGAGTGACCAGTGCTACATTAAACATTTTACTCTGTCCAGATTTTTAGTCTATGAGACCTGAGAGGACACCATTCCAGAACCTATTATTACCACCACAAGCCACTTTCTTATTTTCAAGCTGAGGGCAGCACCTCAGAGAAGCTGTAGATCTTGCTGCTCTGAGTTTTAAGCTATTGACTATCCATTGGCTCCCAGAGCCAGCCCATGAATCTTCCAGTCAGGTTTTTTAGTATCCCTTCGTTTCTCCCAAGAGATCTTCTGATAGCACTGAACATACTCGGAACATACATTTCAGAGCAGAATTTCACAGGGTGCAGGTGATTTTCTGGGCCCTTAGTTAGAATACAAAATACCAACAGTTGGACTTGGATCCCAAAAGCATTGTTGAGAAAAAAACAAGGACTCACCACCATCTCCTGGATGTGAAACATCTCTGCGCCGCCAGATGACAGTCGGTTGGGGAGAGAGATGATGATGGAAGAGCCTGGGAGAGTGCTGGGCCCAGTGTTATAGACCTGAAGGAGTTCAGAGACACAGATTTTCACATCATGTCACACATACACACACACACACACACTCAGTTCCTCTGATCCTCACACAGAGACTCTCGGCTGTGGAAACCAAAAGGCCATCATTTGACCTGAGGCACCATATGGAAAGTTGGTGGTGGTAGGGGCATTTCATCATTTCAATAAAATCAAAACCTTGCTACAAATGATATATTTTTGCATATTCCTATATGTTTACCTACAGGTTACTATATAGAGTGGGAATTTATTTTAATTTTCTATGTGTTTGGGACTTCCCCACCTTTGGTTTATTTACCCAGTTGTTCTCAGGGGTTACTCCTGACTCTGAGCTTGGGAGTCATTCCTGGCAATGCTCCTTGGTGAAAATTCAGACATAACCTCGTCCAGTTGTTCCCAAATGTAAGCATGTATCAGAATAACCAGAGGGGTTGTTAGAACAGACTGGTGGAAGGTCATGTCTGAAGTTTCTGAAGCAGCAGGTCTAATGTTTTGGCCAAGGAGGTGCTGGAAGGTTTGTATTTCTGAAACATTTCCAGAAGATGCTTGTGCTGCCACTTCAGCAACAACATCATGAAAAGCACTGATCTGGTTCAATCCCTTTCTTTCCACAGTGTGATGTAACTGAGCTTGTCAAAGACAAAAATGGGTTGGGGGTTGGCCCCAAACTGAGTGACTACACCTAGGATATCCAAATGGACTGTTTTCACCATACCCTGATACAGGGTTGGTTTCTGAATAATTTGCAGCTAACAGAGATGACATTGTACACTTTAGAAAAGAGAGAGATCCCCACACTGGATCCTGTTAAACTTTGCCCCATTAGTAGAACATATGTCTCACATGCCTGAGGCTCTGGGTTCAACCCACAGCAGAAAGAGGACACTTTTTTTATGCCTCTCCTACAATTCTATTCCTGTGTCCGGCAAACAATTATTTTCCTAGAGAAGACTGATACGGCAATAGCTGCAAAGAGAAAGGAGACGGAAAAGAGGTGGAACATTAATTCCAGGGAGAAATGGAGCTCAGAGAATAGAAAAGTTGGGGAGAGGTGTAGAGACAGGAGGCAGATCAGTGGTAGCTTAGGGCTGGGGGTGGGGTAAATGAGTGGGGGGAGGTATGCTAAAGAGTGGCCTTGTAAGACTGTCCACATTCTGACCCATGGATCCTTTGACTGTGTGACATTACAAGGGGGGAACGAAGGTTGCAGGTGGAATTAAAGTCACGAAGCCATTGGCTTTAAATGAAAATAATACTGTGGAATTTTCAGGGAGCACAGTGAGACCATAGGAGAGAGAGAGAGATGGGACCAGAGAGATGCAATAGGAGGAAGTCTAGGAAGAAGGATTTGAGGAAGAAAGGGGGCATGAAATCATAGAGTGTAAGGCAGTTCAGAATCTGGGAGAGGCAAGAAATGCATTCTCCTCTCGTACCCCCCAGCACACAGGGGACACTGGTTTTAGCTCACTGAGACTCTGTTTGTATTTGGTCCTCTAGAACTGTAAGAGAAGAAATCTGTGGTGTTTGTGGTCACTAATTTGGTAGTAATTCGTTATAGTAGCCATAGGAAACTATTGTAGGGAGTGACCACTAATGGAAGTTTCTTTTGTGGGTGATGAAAAAAAGTTCTAAAATTAGATTTTGGTGAGGGTTTCACAATTCTGTAAAAATACTCAAATTTATTGAATTGTACAGTTGCTTAAATGGATGAAATTGAAAGTATGTGAATGCGTTTGCAATAAAAAAAATCACAACAAAAATAACTCAGACTCAGAAAAAAATATGGAGGTTACTGAGTGGAAAGAAAAAGGGGGGAGGAAGAGTGGACAGAGGGGGTGTGTCCGATAATGTCAAGGGCACTAGACTGATGGTGGGTATGGGAAGGCATGTGCACACAGAGAGCTGTGAAGCCACACTCCAGGAACTCACAGATTATGAAGAAAGTTGGATAGGAAGAAGAAAGAGGAAGGAAGCAAAGGACTTTGGAATAAAAGAGAAGATCCAGGCACTCAAGACATCTCTGGGCTGATGAAGAACCCAAAAGGGCAGGCCCAGGAGCTGGGCTGGGGATTTAACCAGGTCTTCACCCTAGGCACACAGTATGGCACATAGCTAGCTCCAATCTGCTCTTCTCACATCTACTAATATTCGGTTCAGTTTCAGAGAACAAACAAAAACATGATAGCGCAGATGAGTGGTAATTGCCAACTCTTGGTTCAAAAAGAACAAAATTCATCAAGAATAACACAACAAAGGCCTAAGATCAAGGAAGGACAGGAGGGATGGAAATAGTGGATATAAAGTGAGATGGGAGAGTCTAGAGTGGAAAGGGCTCTCCAACATGTCTGGGAAATGAAAGTCTGGGCAGTGGGAAGGAAAGAACATGATTTTGATTTCATTCATCAGAGTCAGATGCTTGGAAAAGGGAAGTGGTAAAGGAACTTGTCCTACCACGTTCATTTTATTTTGAACAAATGTCTTTGCATTTGGTAGCGCGCAAGTGTTTTGGCAACATCTGCATGACTTTTCTTTAACCATAATTTAAAAATTTCCTCAGGTGAGAAAATTAACTCCACTTAATGCACACAAACATCTTATATCAATGGTCAACAAATTATTCTGTCTCCAGTAAGAGGCCTGATGAAATGGAGACGCTAGGTTGAAAGACAGGTGTTTCTGCTTTTCTGCCATCTGCACTTGCACTGCAGTCTTCGGGCAATTACGCGGCTTGCTGAATAATAGCCTTTAAAAGACCAAATAAGGAGTTTATACAGAGATCTGTGCTTCTACTCAGAGTGCATGGCTGAAATGAGGAAAAGGCCATTTTCTTGCTTCATACCCCTCTCTCTCCATCTTGGCTGTGATCACCATTAACCTGGTGAGCAATCTTCCGGTAGGAGGGTCAGGATAATGGCAAACGTCCCTGAAAGTGAACGGTTGGTGATTTCCCACGGAAACTGTCAGCTCTGCTAACACAACAGGCTTTCCTTCTAATCAATGACACACTCTATTCATCTTTCCCACCTGATCTAGCTGGCTCTCCTAATCCTCTTCTGAATGCCTGCACTTCCTCAGACAATGGGTAATCAAGGAGTTTATCTGAGGGTCATGTCAATCACTCATCCTGGGGCCTCCCCGGATCTCTGGCCTGCATCTTGTGTGGGGTCAGATTCGAGACCTTGCCTACACACCAAAACAGAAGCTCCTTATGAAAAGGCTTTTACAGAAACACAACTCAGCCTTCTGTCTCCTGACTTCCTCCCTGTTTTTAGGGGCTGGTAAGAACATTCTTGCATCTTATGTAGATCTGCTGTTCATTCTGTCCTCTCCTTTCAACACCTAGTCCCTATTCTTTCTTGGGCCCCGTGTCACCTGAATGCTAAGAAATAATTCTCTTGACTGTTTCTTGTATTATAAGATACCCGAGGGACTATCGGAGTGGGCAAGTGATTAAAATTCCGGGGATGACTGAAAATGAAGTAACACGGTCTGGGTTTGCTATTTTCTGTCCAGTTACAAAGAGTTGCAGTAGAAACCACACTTGTTTTGAGAAGCGACCAGAAATGAAGAGGTGTGAGTTGTGGCAAGACCACTCAGAACGGTTGGCAAGGGCCAGACCCCAACTCTCCTCCTTGGAGTACAGGGGACAACATGGAGTGCAAGGGACGATGGCTGAGGCTCAGTCAGAGGGAGGCTTAGTCCTCGAAGATGTGGACTCTTGCTGTCCATCGTGGTCCTGAAGGTATATTCCAGGGAAAAATTTGACCACCCAGGCTTAGCAGCCTCATTCTTTTGCCCCTCCCCCCCCCGACACACTTGGGAATGGGAGAAGGGAAACTGCCCAAAGGAAATACTATTGCGCTGCAGCAGTGACTCAGGGCTGGGAGGATGAAATGGAGATGGGGGAGTCCAGGGTGCTATGAGAAAAGTGGGGTGTCAAAGGTGCAAAATAGCACAGTAGAAATGACGTCTGCACCTGTATGTTCATTGCAGCACTATTCACAATAGCCAGAATCTGGAAACAACCCCAGTGCCTGAGAACAGATGACTGGTTAAAGAAACTTTGGTACATCTACACAGTGGAATACTATGCAGCTGCTAGGAAAGATGAAGTCATGAATTTTGCTCAGAAGTGGATGGTCATGGAGAGTATCGTACTAAGTGAAATGAGTCAGAAAAAGCGGGACAGACATAAAATTACTGCACTCATTTGTGAAATATAAAATATCATAATATGAGTCTAAAACACAAGGACAGAGACAAGCCCAGGAAGATTGCTCCATGGTTGGAAACCTGCCTTATGAGCTGGTGGAGAAGGCATCTGGGATAGAGAAGGGATCACAAAGCCAATGATGGTTGGAGGGATCACACGGGATGGGAGATGTGTGCTGAAAGTCGATAAAGGACCAAATGTGATGGCCTCTTATTATCTGTATTGCAAACCATACTGTCCATAAGTAGAGAGTAAGAGGGAAACTGTCTACTATAGAGGTGGGGGGTGGGGTAGGAATACTGGGGACATCGGTGGTGGAAAATGTACACTGATGGAGAGATGGGTGTTTGATCATTGTATGGCTAAAACTCAAACATGAAAGTTTTGTAAGTTTACCCCTGGTGAATAAAAAAAAGTGGGGTGTAGCACTGATCAAGCAAGTGGAAGCAAAGATAAACAAATAGGACTACATTAAACTAAGAAGCTTCTGCACTTCAGAGGAAAAGATGACCAGGATACAAAGACAGCCCGTGTATGGGAGAAATTATTTTCCCAACACTCATCTGATAGTGGGTTATATTTTTACCAAAAAAAATGTGCTTTTGTGTTTTTACAAAAAAAATACACTCCATCAAAAATTGAAAGAGATGAGCAGAAACTTCCTCAAAGAAGAAATAAAATGGCCAAAAGGCAAATGAAAAAGTGCTCTATGTTATTCATTATCAGGGAGAGGCAAATCAAAATGAGATATATTGTTCCAGAGAGACTGGCACACATCAAAAAGAACAACCAGTGCTGGCACCAATGTGGGGAGAAAGGGACTTTCATTCACTGCTGGTGAGAATGCCTATTGGTCCAGCCTTTCTGGAAAACAATATAAACATTCCTCAAAAAGCCAGAAATTGAGCTTCCATAGCACCTAACAATATTGCTCCTGGGAATATACCCTATGAACCCAAAAACACCATACAGAAAAGCCATCTGAATACCTATGTTCATTGAGGCACTATTCACAGTTGCCACAAACTGGAAACAACCCAAGTGCCTGAGAAGAGATGAATGGAAAAAGAAGCTACAGCACATCTAAACAATGAAATACTACACAGCGGTTAGGAAAAATGAAGTCATGAAATTTGCTTATACAATAGATGGACATGGAGAGCAGCATGCTGAGTGAAATGAGTCAGAGGGAGAGGGACAAACAGAATGACCATAGAAACAAGGGCCAGGAGGATAGGTTGGAAACTTGCCACAATGAGCGGAGAGGGAGTGGAGTTAGGATAGAGAAGGGACCACTATGACAATAATAGTTGGAAATGATCACTCTGAACAAGAACTGAGTGCTGAAAGGAAGTAAAGTGATATGCATGATACCCTTTCAGCAACAGTATTGCAAACTACAGAGCCTAAAAGGAAAATGAGACAGAGAGAGAGAGAGAGAGAGAGAGAGAGAGAAATTGTCTGCCATAGAGGCGGGGGGTATGGCAGAAGGGAAACTGGGGATGCTGATGGTGGGAAATGTACAGTGGTGAAGGGATGGATTTTCAAACATTGTATGACTGAAACTCAATCATGAGCAACTTTCTTACTGTGGATATTATGGCAATTCAATTAAAAATCTTAAAAAATGTAAAAAATGTAAAAAATGTAAAAAGCGGGGTATAGATTATGGGGTCTGGGGGCAGGGGCATCTTCTCTTCCTTCCCATGCCTGGCTGGGAGCTGAGTCATATAGGAGGATCAAATGGTTCCCTGACAAGATCTAGTTCCAGTCCCTACTCTCCAGATTTGCGCCCCCCCCCCCCCCGTGTGCCTTGCCCACAGAGCTGGGGAGTTTAGCTATAGCTCCCTACCCTTGTCACCTGAGCAGAACCAACTGGATGATGAGAAACCCTCTAGTGTGCCATCAACAGATTCTCACAGTGAACATGAGACTCAGTCCTGCAGCCCAAAGTTGGTAAATTTTGGCCTGTAGGCCAAACTTCTCAACACAAATTGTGAACAAACAGCCAGATCTCGAAAAGTCCCGAGTCCCCACACTTCACGGCATGTGAAAATAAAACAGAATCCAAATGTTTGTGCCCAGAAGTTCAGTTTTGCTTTTGCATTGTCCACAGCTGATTTGCACCCTACAGCACCGACAAATGGTTGATCTGGAGACTGTCAGGTCTGCCACGGCGAGACCTGGGTTCCCTGGTGCTGCACTCACAGGCTGTGGGAGAGAGCCAGCTGCCCTGTGTGAAAGGGGAGCAATGTCCCTGCTGGGGGCTAGGGTCCACTCATGCTGCTCCACTTTTGTTACTCACTTTTGAGGGGCTGACCCCTCTGTGCAAGTGGGCTCATGGCTTAGTCTGCAAAGACAACCCCGGGAAGGGACATGGTAAATCCACCAGGCTGCCCTTCCACACAGGGAAACTTGAAGAATAGAAAAGGGGCATTCAGGACCACTTGGGCTTTGATATCAGTGAGACCCCCCCTCCCTCACATCCACAGACCTTCACAGGTAGAATTAGTGCTCCTCAAGCAGTACTTCTTCCAAGTGTTGGAGGGAAGAGAGGTCTACCCAGGGTGGGTGGATGTGTACCGTACAGGGAAGACGTTACTTCCCCATGTGGTCATAGAACGAGTATGCATGTTCCCTCCCTCCCAGCAAATCACGTCAGGAAGAGTTTCTCCTGGAGAAAGTGGCCCATTAGCTACATTCTGAAGCAGGCACATCCCGGGTCTTCTATTGGATCCCCATTAGAAAAGAGGTGTCTGGGGAAGAGGTGAGGGATACCTGGAAAGTGATGTTCAGAGGCTGGAAATGACACTCCAGGTCCTCCAGCTGAATGAAGTTGGTGGAATCCACAGACTCGCCGTACACAAAGGAGGTAGGAGAGATGATGCTGAGAGGAGAAAGTGGGAAATGAGTCAGCAACCCGTGAGCACTGTTCTGAGTCCTCCATGTACTATTGGATCCAGACACTGGTTCCCTGCAGTGTCTCCCCGCCAAAAGATTCCCTTTCCAGAACTGTGTCTTCTTTCTCCTGTAAATGGACATCACCGGCAGGTTCTTTCTACACAGACATCACCAGGGACATCTTGTCTCAGATCAAGTTAATGAATGAGGAGGGAAGGGTGATCTTGTATTTTTTTTTTTAAAACTGTCACTGTCGCTGTCCTCTCATTGTTCATCGATTTGCTCGAGCAGGCCCAGTAACACTGTGAGACTTGTTACTGTATTTGGCATATCGAATACGTCACGGGTAGCTTGCCAGGTTTTGCCATGCGGGTGAGATACTCTCGGTAGCTTGCTGGGCTCTCCATGAGGGGTGGAGGCATCGAACTCAGGTTGGCCATGTTGGTTGCGTGCAAGGCAAACGCCCTACCGCTGTGCTAAACCATACATGTCCTGTTTTGTTCTTTGAAAAACATATTGTGGATCAAAAACAACTATGGAAAGTTTCTAGAAAATAAGTAGAAATGAATATTTGATATATGTAGGATATAATGTCACAGCTAAATTTGTTGGGCTTTCAAAAGAAATGAAGGATTTAAAAGTAGAGTCCAAGGTGGCTCGGTCGCACAATGGTTAGCACATTGGACTTCTAAAATTGGGGTCTATAGGGCCAGAGAGAGTTCAGGGAGTGAGTAAAGCATTTGCCTTGCATGTAGCCCACTGGGTTTGATCCCAGGTCCTCCATATGGCTTCTCAAGCACTGCTAGGAGTGATTCCAAAGCACAGAGCCAGGAGTAAAGCCCATAACCCAGCCGGGTACAGTCCCCAAACAAAAACAAACAGAAAAATTGGACTTCAGTCAGTGATAGCATTTGTTTTCTGATTTCAACCAGTGACTACGCAAGAGGTGATCAAGAAATGGATCCTCGTTGGTAGTGATGCATTCAACATTGCCTCTGTGAGCAAACCACAGGGACAAGAGACAATGCCTTGGCCCAATCAGATCCCAGATTAAACAATGGTATCACCCTTGTCAAAGGATGAGCACATAAGATTTTTGGTACTGGGTCTGAATGGCCAACAATTCCTTGCTTTTCAAACCAAATGTCTCACTGGAGCAAAGCAGTGAGTCCCTGGCATTAGCTCCTGGCCAGGGCTGGTTTGTTTAAACCTGAACTGCTTCCACTGGTGTGCAGAGCAGAGGGTGCGCAGAAGTTTCTTTAAGTCAGGCCTCATCCAGGCCTGTTAATTCTTCACGTGGGAACCTCTTGGGCTTGCTACCTGATCAAGGGTTTCCCTTTTTGTCCCTAAGGACAGGGGTTTGTTCCAAGGTCTATTCTCGCTGTGTCTCTGATGAGACAAGTAAATAAAGTAAAAGGCTAAAAACAGAGCCAGAAACAGAAGCAAATGCATGCAAATGTATTCCGCAGATGCCTCTCATCTCAAGAAACCCTCCTGCCCCCCTCCCCCCAGGAGAGTGAACTCTTCAGGGATGGCTCTTTCTGCAATGAATTAACAACTCCACTTGGAGCCAAGGCCGGTACACAGAAGCACTTAAGAACTGGAGAAGGCAGGACTTTGAACCTCCAGAAAGTTCAGCTTGCCCTTGAGGCCAAGGTTCAATGGGTCCTCTTTTGATGTACACGCAGTGCAAATCCCCTTTCCCCTCTCTCAAAGAGGTATGTGCTCAGTTTTCTGAGACCCAGAAACAGGAAGTGAATTTTCATTTTCTTCCCTGGCACCACAACCCACCACACAACCCATCCCTGCCCTTACTCCCAGACCTGAGCTCTGGTTGCAACACCAACCCGGGTTGTCCTGGGTTCCTGCAGAGGGCACCCCTGCTCTCCCACACTGCCAGTAGCACCGAGTGGCAGGGCACTTGGCCCAGGTGGACTTTCGCCTGGCCCAGGATCCTCAGGATCCTTCCCCACTGCTCCGGACCACCACCCACGTGAGTCCTGCAGAAGGGGCGAAGAGCACCATACCAAGACAGTGCTGCGAGGTGGAGGAGAGGGGCAAGCCATTCTGAGAATCAGTCAGGCCCCGGGGACAGAGCTGGCTGTGACCAAAGCCTGGGACACATCCGGCTGGAACCCAGCAGAGACTCTGATCCTACAAATCATGCTGCCGCTCCTCGCTGGCCTGCAAGGAGGGGTGGGTGTTGGGGACATATATGCCTATACAGGTGCATGGGACATCTGGAGAGATAAACGGACTTAAACTTGTCGCCAAATTGCTGGTGCTCCCTGATGGGTGGGGAGGCAGCTGGGAGACAGGAGCAAAGGAAGAGGTGGGAGGATGTAGCCTTTGAGGCTTCCAGGGACCTGGGCACCTCCACCTCCTGGCTGCATACGCAGACCCCAGCCCGGCCTGGCCTCTCACCACAGGCCTCTCTGTCTATGTGGGGGTGGCCAGGACGGAGCTACTCACCCTTTAAGGGATGTGTCCACTTCGTGCACTAGCGGCACAGCCAGCATGAGTGTGTTGTCCTGCAGGGACTCGGGCCTCTCCACATTGCCACTGCGGGGGGAAGAGAGGGTTGGACAGGGGTCAGCACCCAGGGCCATCTCTGTATTCAGCTGCCCCTGGTTTGGGGCTGGCCCCTAGAGTCATGGGGGACTTCTGTGATCCCAAGGGTGGGCCCTGATGGTGGTGTCAATGATAATTGTCTCCAAGGGAGGGAACCCATGGAAATACCAGGAGTGAGTGGGCAGGGTAGAAGGATGGGAAAGCAGAGAATGAAGGCACTTGCTATTTCATTTATTTTTAATTAAAAAAATTTTTTTTTGCTTTTTGGGTCATATCCAGCAATGCACAGAGGTTACTCCTGGCTCTGCACTCAAGAATTACTACTGACGCTGCTCAGGGGACCATATGGGATGCTGGGAATCAAACCCAGGACAGCTGTATTTAAAGCAAATGCCCTACCTGCTGTACTATCACTCTAGCCCCAAGCACTTGCTCTTTTAAAGAGGGACGTGCCATGTGTGGGCAAGCAGGCTGTCTTGCTGGTCAGGCTGTCTCAGCTGCCTCCCCAGGGAGAACAGAGATGCCCAACATCCTGGGCCATCTGACCTCCTCCCCCAAACCAAGACTTTCTTTTTGACTTGAGACACCAGATTTAGGGGATACGGGATAGGAGTAAGATGCGGAATAACAAGGGGGAAGGAGGAGGAGAGAAGAGTTTTCTCCCTTCACTGTTTTGGTAAATTTCCAATCTGAACTGTGTATCACCTCGGGCGCTGGGATGGCTGGTTTGGTACCAGGGTGAATGTGGGATCCCAAGAGGAAACTACCTTCATGCTCCTGGGATGGAACAGGGGTGTCCCAAGGACTGGGGAACGGACACAGGACTCCCGCCCCCTGACCACTCCCCTATTCCCAAAGAGACCAGGGTTTCTGCTCCCACTCCCTTTCCCCACATTCCCCTCTTCCTTTTCCTCACTGCCTGAAACAATGGTGCCCTGCAGACTCCCCCCAGCCCCCAGCTCCTCATCTGTCTTCCCCCGAGGGGTGCCTCTCAGCACTCAGAGGTCACTACTTGCAGAAGCAGGTGCCCACGTGGACTGACGTCCTTGTCCTTCCTTTCTCTGGGGCAGGAGCCGACTGAGGCGACTCCATCTGGAAAGGATGCCTCTGCCCCCACCCCGCCAGCATCCTGTCCCATCTGAGTAATCCTTTCCTCTTGGAAGGGCCCCCTGACCCTTGCCATGTGTCCTGCCACCTGTGGCCGCTGGCAGCTCAGTGTAACGGTCTCATCTGTCAACGGGGTGACTGCCCAGACGGAGCTGGGGTGAGAAGCCGTGATAAAGAGGACAAACATCAAAAGGCTCCAGTCATGCTGGTGCGCGTGACCTGGGATGCTGTCCCGGGAGCGCTGCCGAGAGGAGGGCTCTTGAGAAACTGTTTAGTTTCAGCTTTATGTCCTCTGAAATCCACAAGTGGGCAAGAGAGCTTCAAAGGGTGGTGACGGGAAGAAAGGCACGGAGGGTATTTTAACTGTGGCTTTCAAGATAAGGAGCTTTAAGGATTGCTCTGTCACGGCAGGGTGTCAAGTGCTGTGCGTGTCGTGTGGGGCAGTAAGATCACATCTTCACCCGAGCTTGGCAAGGGAAGAGCTCCTGAAATAGTCTGTGCCCAGCAGATAAAACAACACCCTTAATGCCTGGGATTCGAAGAAGTAGACGGTTCTAACACTTAATTGTTTAGGCTACAGAGCTGAAGCATTCCCCAATGTTAGGGAGCGATCCTATGCCCATAAGAGGATGTTCTTGAATCCAGTAAGCTATTGCCATGATCTCATGCTACAGATATACAAACATTATGTGGATAGCATCCACGCATACAGATGTACACACATATGCGTAGACAGCACTTGAAGGTATCTGCACTTACAGTTATAAATCATTTGTATACACAGATGTGCTTGTGTGTGTGTGTGTGTGTGTGTGTGTGTGTGCGTGTGTAGAGTACTTGTGCCTCAGATGTACCTGACAAGTACAGCACCTGAACACACATACATATGCATAGAGAGCACTTGGGGGTATGTGTACACACATATGCTACTTGTGTCCACAGAAGGACATACATATGTATATGTATTCCATACAGAGCTATGTAGCACTTAGCACAGTGTCTAGTTAAAAAACAAACAAAACAACAGATGCAATACAGATATTTACTGAATAGAAACCATGTCCGGGATAGAGGAAGTGAAGCATAGGTAGTGGGTCTCAGCATTGGTGCTCTTTCAAACCACTTCATGGATCTTTTGGAAACTCCATATCCAGATCTTTCCCCAGACCTACAAGGGAAGAGGCTCTGTGGGGTGGACCGGGTGATTCCTGTGAGCATCCAGAGCAACACCTGTGCATGGAGGCTGTGAGGGAGGATGCGATAGCCCTCTCCAGTCCCTGACACATCTCACTGGTCCTGAGGCTGTGGGGTGGTCAGTGGAGTTTCTGCCTCCTCCAGGTTCAATGTCCTGCTGAAGGGCATCATTTCCTTTCCATCAGCTTCCCTGGGTACTGAGAAACCCAGAGACCCAGGAATGAATCTGCCCAACCAAAGGGAGTTTTCTGTGAATCCAAGAAATGCCGGAAAAAGGACTTTCAGGTTCCAGTGGGCAGCTGCTTCTCCTTATTAACTAATTGTATGCTCTGTGGCCAGCTAGCAGTGACACTGACTGTTCTTCAAAATATCCGGTGACATCCCTGCCTGAGAAATGCTGTTCAGACTCTGGGACCCTATGGATCCACCTAACCCAGCCTGTCTCTTCCTACAGCCCCATGTCCCTCTGCCCTGAATGTCCCCCACCCTGCCTCAGTGATGGCGGCTAGGTCCCCAATCCACTCAGTATCCATCCTCATGGGTAAAGTCAAACAGGCTGCTCAGTGCACATTCTCATTACGGTACTGATGCTTGTTCAGCTTGAAAACAGGCTCCTCTGCTTCAGCGCCATCTCACCAGGGAAGTCTGAATTTGACAACTACAGTTATTTGAGAGAAGAAATTCATTCTGAATAAATATACACTGAGTGTTCATAGGGGAAATAAGAGGACAGGTCGGAGTTTAATAACTTGCTTTCAGATGGATAATGAAAAATTCTATGTATGGAAACAATGACATAAGTAATCGGGGTCAAACTATTAGCACTGGTGACCTGGGATAAGGGTTTATGGAAAGTTCTTGCATCCTCCTTTGCAACACTGCTATGAAGTGCACAGGCAGTGCATAGGCATTTCAAACAGATATTAGGAAGAAAGCTCTGCCTTGGAAATCTGACCACTGTCCGTTCCTGTCAAAGTGCGAACCTCCATTTCCCACCCATATCCTGTCCCTGACTCCAGCTGCAGACACACACTGCTTGAAACCCTCAACTCTTTTTTATTTTTATTTTTTTTGAAACCTTCAACTCTTAAGGCCTGTCTCTCTGTAGCTGTGAAACCAGGAATGTGAAGATATGACTTTAAGACCTCTGACTAGGTGATCCCTTGACCTCTGACTAGATGACTCCTTGACTTGACTAGATTCTTTGACTTCTGACTAGATGACCCCTAGACCTCAGACTAGATGGTTCTTTGACGTCTGCCTACTTGACAATTTGACTTGACTAAAGCTCTTGATTTCTGACTAGATGGTCTCTTGACTTCTGACTAGATGACACCTTGACTAATTCTCTGGCTTCTGATTAAAAGATTGATCTCTGACTAAATGATTCATGACTTCTGACTAGATGATTCTTTGATTTCTGACTAGATGACTCCATGACTGACTTGATTCTTTGACCTCTGATGAGATGACCTCTTGACCTCTGACTAGATGATCCACTGACCTCGACTAGACAAACTCTTGACCTCTGACTAGATGACCCCTTGACTTCTGGATAAGTCATTTCATGGTTTCTGATTGGGAGTCATCCCAGTTCCTCACAATTCAATCTGACCTGGCATGTGCACAAGAACAACTGGACAACCACCATCCCTGAAAGAATTGATTCTACCCATCAATTTGGGGCTTTGTCACTGAAGAACTGTGTCTTTCTGAAGAGTCTCCTGGGTACTCTTCAGTGCATGACCAGGGCATGACCTTCCTGCTGCCTCCATATTTTACTTTGAAAAATCCTCCTTACCTCTGAGCCGTAACGATGAAGTTGAGGACATCCTCTTCCCCAGAGAGGTGACTTGTGTCAAAGATCACGCTGAAGTCATACTAGGGGATGAGAAAGTGGTGGTTGACACTAGTAAGCCTTGAAATTTGAACCTGGTTTGCTTTGACCTGTACTTTTTTGCTCTCTGGAAACTCTGTTGCAGGACAATCTGTTTTATTACATGATCTTTCCATTTTCAGACCAGAGACACAGCTTGAATAAGAGGACCATTCCCTGATCTCACACTAGGGCTCAAACTGTACTTTTTGGCAAATGAGATTCCCTTTGTGAAAGGATGAATTTGTCCCTTAAGCAAGAACATTTTGAATTCTACTCACACCATCTTCCTAGTTTCTCCACATCTATGTAGCCCACCATCTAAGTCATTTACTTTATAACTGACTGCTCTAATTTTTTTGCTTTGGGGACACACCCAGTGGAAGCTCACGAGACCATGCAGTGCTGGGGATTGAACCCAAGGACCCTGCATACAGTCTGTGCCGCAGCTCCTTAAGCCAGCTGCTCAGTACTTCCCTGGCTCTCTTCCTTTAAAGGTTATTTAACAGGAAACTTTATATTGCAACCACATGTGGGCATTGTGGATCACTTTCCATAATGAGAAGGTTGTCATAAAAATAAATACAATGAGAACCATGCAGGATTGGGTTCTGTTGGTTATTTTAGCCTGGGAATCTGGGGTCTATTAGGCAGCTGAGAAATCTAAATGATAGAGCCACCAGAGTTTGAAGTCAGGGCAGTGCCAGGGGAAGGATTCGATGACATAGGCAAGAGAGAAGGATTACACCTTGTTTTCTATCATTGAGTGTGTGTGGAGGGGAGATAGGGTGCTAAGGGGTGGAGGAGGGGAAGTAGACAAAAGAACATGCAATTTCCCTCAGAACAGAAAAATAATTTCTATATCAAAAGACAGACCTGGTCCTATACATCCTAGTTTTACCTCCCCAAATCACATCTTATGTGTATATCTGCAGATCCTTATAATGATGGAACATACTAGAATATTCCATGAATGCCTGAATATGCACCACATTATCATTTGAGCTGAGAAAATTTGACTTTTTATAAATAGCAAAGTGACTAATTTCTTCTACTTTAAAAAAACAATGAAGAGCAATGCAATTATTTATGCTTGAGAATGTTAAGAGGTCTCTTGAGGAAAGTGTAAGTGCTAAGGAGAGTGACAGAGTCAGGATTGCAGGCTCCTAGCCCAGACCACATTTTCTCCTATATTGTCTTGGGGATGCAAAGTGGCAGGGAATGTCTCAGACAAAAAAAAATTTTTTTTCAAATGAAAGTCAACCAGATACTCTTTGCTAAAGTGTGAAATCCAGGCATTTCCCAGTGTATGCCATGGGGATCATGGGGTAAGAGCCTGGGATCTCAGCTTCTCAAGCACATTTGGAGAAGAAGAAGAGACTCTTATGGACAGGAGCAGGCCTGGTCTGAGGGAGGGCCTTATTGGTTACCTCAGCTCTGTGGGAAGTGGCGCTGTGGAGGAAACTTTCAGGGAGGCAGTGGCTGCAGTCAGGGGCTGGTGGGGAAGGGGAGTGGCAGTTCTCTGCCCCTTACCTTTGACTTGGACCGCATGAAAGGAAACCCCACACTGCACTTAAGGAAGTCCGATTCTAGCAGTTCACAGGAAATGCCCATTTCCTCCTGAAAGAACAAAAAGCACCAACAGATGGGACAGCTGCAGGAAGACAGATGTGTGGACATAGGCACAGGAGACAAAGAGAGACTTCTGCCGAGAACTTGTCACCTTTCCCTCTCCAGGAGGCATGTTCAGGAGGAATGAATATAGCCACCAATAGAATGACAGCCACCAGGGATCAATGTCTATGGACTGTGGTCTAAAAGAATATCCCTTCTGATATCCCAGGCCCATATCTCAGCTCAGACCAACATTTCCTGTCCTTTAGGCAGATGGAACAGGTATATTATTTTTTTTTAAATTGCAGGTCCCATACTCACAACACACAGCGGTAGGGCGTTCGCCTTACAAGCGGTCAACATGGCCGACCCGAGTTCGATTCCTCCGCCCCTCTCGGAGAGCCCGGCAAGCTACCGAGAGTATTCGATATGCCAAATACAGTAACAACAAAGTCTCCAATGGAGACGTTACTGGGCCCGCTCGAGCAAATCGACGATCAACAGGAGGGCCTTTACCTTTACCTTTATCATACTCACAAAATTCACAAATACTTAAAACATACTTTATTAAAAATTCTGTAATTTTGCTATTAATAACAGTATCAGGACAGAGAGAGTACAGGAGTTTAAAGTGCTGGCCTTGCAAATAGCCTACCCTAGTTCAATCCCTGGCACTGCATGTGGTCCACCAAGAACTGCCAGGAATAGCCCCTGAGCACAGAACTAGGAGTAAGCCCTGTGCACTACCAGGTGTGCCCTCACAACCAAACAGTATCAAACACACCAAGAACAGAAATAACAAAGGATGACTGTGAGTAAAGGAATGACTGTGGCTTCAAAAACTTAACCTAGAACTTGAGAGGACTTTAGGGGTTCTTCGTTTGAGCTGAGTTTTTTCGATTGCTCAAGAGCTGCTGAAGTACCTTACTTTTTTCTTCACCCCCAAAAGCTCAAAATTGGCATGACAAACAGAATCTCTTGCAGTGTTTCAAATCTCTCTTGTATCACACACACTCAAATGAAAAATTCACTGCACTTCTTGGGTCTTGGTGGGAATTCAGGAGAAAGAGTGAAAGCCCAGCCACCTGGATGGCGGCATAACTCACATGTTCCACGGCTGATGATGTGGACAGGATGCCACAGAGCCCCCTTCTGTGGCTCATCTGTACAATCACAGCCCTCCCAGGACCTATGAAACTGCTTGAAAAAAAGGCCTTCACTCTCTTCCTAGGTCTGTGAGGCAGAGCACCCCTCACAGCCTGGGGGGAGACACTATAATTCCTTGTGGGAAAAGTGTAGGTGCTCCACCCAGAATCCCTTTCCACAATGAGTTCTGCAGCACCCCCCCCCCCGCGTAGAATGGGAACCCCTTTGTCTGAGAGGGTTCCCTGTCTCTCCACACGCATCCTGTTGTCACCTACTATGTGCGCACAGCAGCCAGCACTTTCTCCACAGGTTGACACCAACCTTCTCTTGCAATTCATGTTCCTGTATTCCCATGGGGACAGCAAAGCATCTCCAATATTCCTCCCCCCATTCTACTCTCTTCAATCTCTGCTTCCAAGAACCCTTCCCAATAAGTCACCTGCAGGAGAGACTCCCCTATCTCAGATTCTGCTTCTGGAGAGCTGGCCTTGGATATATTCTGTACACTTGAGGTACCTGGCACTGATCGAGTCTTTGGAAAACATGAGGCATTTGCTCTGATGTAGAGTGGGACTAGGGAGAAGGGGGAACGTCTGGGTGCAAGGCTGCAGTTTGTAAGCTCTGGGGGTTTCTCTCATTAGCTGGCCACCAGTAAGACGTGCATCCTAACCTGATCTCTCCATTCCTGAGGCTTATGATTTAAGCTCTCTGATGACCGGGGACAGGGATTCATGAAAAAACTGCTTGTCCTTTGTCCCTGATTGCCAGAGTGTAGGTAAAATTTTAATTTATTTATTTATTTGGTAGTTTTTTTTTTAACTACATATTTTATGTTGCTGGGGAGTGAACTTCCCACAGTGAGGCATGGGCTCCAACACTAAGCCACCATTCTGGATTATCCCAAATAAAAACTATGCAAAGAATGAAGTTGAGATCTTCCTGCAAAAGATATTGGAATGGAAGTAGCGAATGTGACAGTGGAAAGCTGTTCCAACCACTAGAGTCAGTGACAGAGCAGAGGGGTCAACAGCTGAAGAAGTCAAAATTATCCCTGGACCAATTTGGTGGTTGTAGATGCAGTAATTTATTTTTTAAACATCACTACCATAAGCAGTAACATTATTGTAATTTTGTTATCCAAAGTATGATAAAATTAAAAATTTTTAAATTATTTTATTTTAGGATGTCTCCCTTCTTGAACAGTAGTACGGTCCTACTGGTTTTCCATTGGGACGGAACCTTGCATTCAGACAGGTAGCATGTGAAGAGCCGAGCCAGTGTATTGATGAGTACTGACGGCAGGTTCTTCAGGTGTTCAGGTCTGACCTTGTCTGGGCCGGGTGCTGTTCATTTCTTTACTGACGAAATGGCGTGTCGGATTTCGGAAGGGAGAACGTTGGGAACGACATATCCATCCTGTGGAATTTGGTATGTCGGCAAGTGGACATGGCTATCGAAGAGATTTGAGTAGAAGTAATGGATAATCTTCTCCATTGCCGTTCTGGAGGATGTGATGGATTCATCAGGACGTCAGAGGGCAGTCATCTTGGTCTTGTAGTTGGCGAAGGACAGGCGGGCGTTACGAATACTTTTCCCAGCTTCTGCCGCATCTACCAACACTTCTGCTCTTCTCTCTTTGAGGTCTTCCTTGATCGCATCTCTGCACTGCTTTGAGAGCTCGGACGTTAGCTTGCGGTTGCCTAAGGCATGCGCCAAACCACACTGGCGAATAAGCTCAAGAGTTTTCGAAGACAGGCATTTTTTTTGTGGCTATCTCTCTCTTGGCGTTCGTCGCACATTCATGGAGATGCTGAACCAGTCGATCGTATTCCTCGTCAATGTTGTCAACAATGGCATCTTCTCATGTTGCCGCAATAGTGCCAAAGAGCTTCCAGTTGGTGGTCGTTCTGGGAGTTCTCTTTTCAAACTTTGCAGCCCTTTCTCCTCGCTCTGTGAAGTAGAATTTTGCACGAAGGAGACGGTGGTCCGATTCCGTTCGGAATTTTGGGACAACAGCAACATCGGTGAGGCAAAACCGTCGATTGAATATGATGTGGTCTATTTTGTTGTGGAATCGTCCACTGGGAGACTCCCATGTCCAACGTTTAGATTCGGCCTTCTGGAACTGTGAGTTACCATGGATGGTCTTGGTCGACATGATGAACTCAGACAGTCTCTCACCCTGTTCGTTCCATTCTAGGCCATGGGTCCCGATGTGAAGTTCTTCAGCTGATCTTCTCGGTCCTATCTTGGCATTAAAAGCACCCACAATGATCTTGTAGAAGGTGTGGTCTTCTTTATAGAACTTCTCCAGATCCATGTAGAACTTCTCGATTTCTCTTTCATCATAATGAGATGCTGGTGTGTAGACAACGAAGATAGAAACTGCTGGCAGTGAGCCACATCTATTCAAATGTAAATGTCCTATTTGGGTTGTTAGGCATTCAAATGAATCAATGCTCATGGCCAAGTTTGTGTTGACAAGGACACCGACTTCTCCGACACCTCTTTTATCGCATGTTCCGAGGAACAATTCTTCTTCAATGTCGAAAACGGCATGGTGAGATTCGTGCCTTCTTGTCTCGGTCAGACCAATGATGTCGTACTTGATCATTCGCGCTTGTACCACCAGGTCCTCGATGGATGCATCTGATGCTAGCGTACGTGCATTGAAAGTACAGACGATCATTTTTGTCTTCTTTCGTTGTGGCAGGCTAGTTCGGCCTTGAGATTTTATCAGCCTCTCCTTTCTCATCTTTCTCAGTGCTGCCATCGGTGAAGTCTTCAGGGTCAGGTGAATGAGACCCATTGTAGTTACCACCTGATCTGCCTATTGTCTGTCATCTACAAGTTGTTCACTCGAGTCATCCTAAATAGGATTGGCAGAACACTAGATGAAGGACAACCATGCGAGCAAGCTGGGTTCCGCAAAGGATTCAGCACCATCGACCATATCCACACGATAACCAAGCTCATTGAGGTTTCTCGGGAGTTCAAGATGCCGCTCTGTTTAACGTTCATTGATCTAAAGAAGGCCTTTGATTCTGTTGAGATGGAAGCGGTCATTGAAGCCCTAGCCAATCAGGGCATTCAAGCCCAATACATCAAGATCCTCCGTGAGCTGTATTGCGGATTCACTACCAGGATCTCACCATTCTACAAAGAAGTAATCATTGATTTCAAAAGAGGGGTTCGGCAGGGTGATACCATTTCACCGAAACTCTTCAGTGCCACCCTCGAGAACATCATGCGACGACTGGAATGGGAAGGAATGGGAGTGAAGATAGATGGTCGGCAACTACACCACCTCCGCTTTGCTGATGACATTGTTTTAATAACACCAAACATCAGCCAAGCGGCACAAATGCTGGCCGACTTTGACCATGAGTGTGGAAAGGTAGGACGACAGCTGAATCTTATGAAGACAATGTTTATGAGAAACAGTCTCGTTCCTGATGCCCCATTCGCTCTCAACGGAACGACCATCTCCGAAATGCAACAGCTATGTGTACCTAGGTCGAGAAGTCAACATGACAAATGACCTGGGACCCGAGCTGCGCAGGAGGAAGAGAGCGGCTTGGAATGCCTTCAAGAACGTCGAAGAAATACCTAAGAGGACGAAGAACCTCCTGCTCCGGGCATATCTCTTTGATTCCACTGTTCTTCCTGCATTAACATATGCCTCAGAGACCTGGGCCCTACGCAAACAGGATGAGAACGCTATTCAGGTCTCCCAAAGAAGAATTAAAAGATCTATGCTTGGAATATCACGTTTCACTCAAATGAGAGAAAGAATCCGGAGTTCTGACATCCGTCGACGATCAAGAATCAGGGACGCTGTCTCATTTGCCAAGGTGTCA